AAGCAATCACAGGTGACACCAAGGTTTCTGGCCTAGCAAGTGACAGGTATTGCCTTCAGTTTGTGGGGAAATACCAGGATTGATTTTGAACATGTTCACTTTAAAATGCCTGTTAGACAGCAATACATGTAGGCAGTCTGGAGTTGAGGAAGGAAGTCTGGCAGAACTAGACATTGGGAAGTTTAACTTCAAGACTGATGAGATCCCTTAACTAGGATGTATCCTAGTGAGTGGGTATAGAGAGAAGGGCCCACCTGGGGTGCTTGAGTGTTATAGGTGAAGGAGATGCAGTGAGAAAAGGAGACTGAGAACAAGTGGTCAGAGGAACACCAAGTGAGTGAGGCCCACTTTAATCAAAAACAGCTTGCTTAGTGCCCTGCACATACGTATCTTAACACTTTCATGGGAATGCTTTTGGATGTTATTTTTCTCACATGAGAACTTACTAAGGGTACAAATTATCAGGGAATCTCCACCCCTTGGTGCAGTACCTGACGTAGTAGGAACTCAAATATTTGTTGTTTGAATGAATGGCCTAGGAGGTCACAATAATAATAGTATTTTTTTTTTTTTTTTTTTTGAGACTGAGTCTCGCTCTGTCCCCCAAGCTGGAGTGCAGTGGCGCAGTCTTGGCTCACTGGAAGCTCCGCCTCCAGGGTTCACGCCATTCTCCTGCCTTAGCCTCCCAAGTAGCTGAGACTACAGGCACCCGCCACCACGCCTGGCTAATTTTTGTATTTTTAGTAGAGGTGAGGTTTCACTGTATTAACCAGGATGGCCTCGATCTCCTGACCTCGTGATCTGCCCGCCTCAGCCTCCCAAAGTGCTGGGATTACAGGCGTGAGCCACTGCACCCGGCCAATAATAGTAATTTTTTTTTTTACAAGAGGGAAGGCAGGGCATTTGCTGAGTAGATAAGCGTGGCAGAGCGCTGTTACGTATTTACCATGGGAAAATGGAAGCAAGGTAATGACTGGGGATAATTATTATTTTCAGACGGGGTCTCCCTCTGTTCCCGCAGATGGAGTGCAGTGGCACAGTCACGTTTCACTGCAGCCTTGACCTCCTGGGCTCAAGTGATCCTCCCTTGATTTTCCCACCTCAGTCTCCTGAGTAGCTGGGACCACAGGTGCATGCTACCATGCCTGACCAATTAAAAAAATGTTTTTGGAGACATGGGATTTCACTATGTTATCCAGGCTGGTCTCAAATTCCTGGGCTCAAGTGATCTTCCCACCTTGGCTTCCCAAAGTGCTAGGATTACAGGCATGAGCCACCATGCTCAACCTAGAAGACCCCAATTATTGAATGCTTACAATATGTCCATATTCTAAACATGGTGAGAGTTGCTGCTTCATGCATTCCTGTCTTGATTGAATCGTAAATCTCTGTCTTACTCCTCGGGCCATACTGGATTTTCCTAAGGAGTGTATCCGAGTGTGTATATAGGTATACAATCAAACAATAAAAATCACAATATCCTGGTAAGTATACTATAAAATATTTCCAGAATAAGGGTGCTTCTCACAGTTTACATTGTTACCACTCTTGACCAAACCACTGCCATCATCTCTTGCCTGGATTATTGCAGAAACCGTCTATGTTTGGTCTCCTGACTTTTCAACCTTACCCCGCAGTAATCTAGCACCTACAAGAATGACTGGCATGATGTAGATGCTAAGTTAATATTTGTTGAATGATGGCCTGGCATAGTGGCTCATGCCTGTAATTCCAGTGCTTTGGGAAGCTGAGGTGGGAGGATCACTTGAGGCCAGGAGTTCGAGACTAGCCTGGGCAATATAGGGAGACCATGTCTCTACAAAATATTAAAAAATTAGCTCGGTGTTATGGTGCCTGCCTGTAGTCCCAGCTACTTGGCAGGCTGACTCAGAAGGATCACTTGAAGCCAGGAGTTCAAGGCTGCAGTGAGCTATGATTGTACCACTGCACTCCTGGGCAACAGAGCAAGAGCCTGTCTCTAAAAAAATTGTTGAATGAACAAATTCTTGAGTAAACCTTCACACCTGAGGTTCTTTGAGCACGTGTGACCTCCTGTGGCATCGATTGCTGTTAGGATAAAATTTTGTCTGACTCTGCATCTAGGCTTGGCGAGCATTCCTCCATCGGGCATCTCCTCGTCTGCTGCTCTTGCTGTGCTCTGGTCACATTGGCATTTTTTCTGTGTTTTGAAGATAGCAAGCTCATTCCCACCTTGCAGCTTCCACATTGACTCTTTCTTCTGTATTCAGTGCTTCCCCTCGCTCCCTTCCCATGACAGGCTCCTTTCTTCATTTGGGACCCTGTTCAGATATCTCCTTAGAGAAGTTTCCTGTGACCTCCATAGCTAAAGCAGCCCTTCCCTCCTTCCTTTTCTTTAGTCTTTTACACACTCTCTCTAGTCTTTTAAACAACTTTTTACCTTCTCCAAGCGCTGAACTCCTGCCTCCATCCAGTCCTGTTTGTGATAACCAAAATCCAGCTCTGCCAGTTACCTTTGGATTGTGATTGTGGTTTTGGCCCCTCCCCCACCCCAAGGGGGGACCAGAAGGATTCTGAGATTTCTGGCTTGTAGAATAGAGTAGATAGGTGGTGCTGTCATTTACTGAGACAGAAAATACCAATTGATGAAATGTTTGAAGAATTATGCTTTTAGAGGGTGTGTGTGTATTGGTACTAGCTGGTTCTTGAGTTCTGTTTGTCCCTTTAGAACACAAAAATTTCTCTATGACTTTGGTTTTGAACATGTTGATTTTCTTTTTTTTTTTTTTTTTTTTGAGACGGAGTCTCGGCTCTGGCTAGTAATGCTACCTCGAGAGCCTATTATATGTTGGGGATTATGCAGAATGCTTTTATGTGGATTCATTTATTCTTTCTGTTCCCTAGCTAAAGATTGTAGCTCCTGAACGAGTGCTGCTTTCTCTTCATAAAACACACCTGAAGTGTTCCCAGTCGTCCCCTTCCCACCTGTGCCCTCTTTATATTTTCCTTTTTTTTTTTTTTTTTTTTTTGAGACGGAGTCTCTCTCTGTCGCCCAGGGCAGTGGTGCGATCTCAGCTCACTGCAAGCTCCGCCTCCCGGGTTCACGGCATTCTCCTGCCTCAGCCTCCCGGGCAGCTGGGGCTACAGACGCCTGCCACCTTGCCCGGCAAATTTTTTGTATTTTTAGTAGAGATGGGGTTTCACCATGTTAGTCAGGATGGTCTTGATCTCCTGACCTCGTGATCCACCTGCCTCCACCTCTTAAAGTGCTGGGATTACAGGCGTGAGCCACCGCGCCCGGTCCCCCCATTATATTTTCGATCCTGATTCCTTTGCCAGCTTTAGGTATTATAAATAGGCTAGTGTATAAAAACATGGATCTGTCACTATTCAGGAAGTGATTTGTATTAAAATTTCTATTCGATTTATAGGTTTTCCAGAAATAACTACAGTTTTAAATTACGTATACCAATACTCTCACAGGACGTGAGTGTTAGGTTTGCCAACAACAAAGTGAGAGATGGAAACTCAAAACTTAATGTATTTTTCCTTTCTTTTTTCAAGCTTGGGTGGAAAATTAATTAAATTGCGTGTGGGTGACTTAGAGTGTCTAGGACTCATTTTCATCCTGAACTAGCGGAGTGATGTCACTGTCCATAGCTGCTTCAGTCACCAGAAGCTTTTTGCCGGGAGTTATTTCTCCCTGTCTGAATACAGAGGATGACTCTCTCTAGCAAGTGGTGTGGTGTTGTCCAGTGGCTGCTTGAGGAGCCTTGGAGAGTGAAGGAAATGATTTGCATCTCTTCATGGCATGTATTTCCTGGTATGTGTGGTGGGATGATCAATTCTAGTACTGTGCTTCATATACAAACTTCACGTTCTCCATGTTTCTTTAAATGAAAATTTTGTTCTCACCATGATTTAAGCAATGATATTTTCTTAAAACTCATGTTCGCTGCTTACTGTATTCACTGCACAATAAGTAGTTGTGTACTTTTCGGGGCATTTATCTCTCCCACATATAGTTTCCACTCTAGGAAATCTTACAGTGACTAAAAAAGCCAAAGGTAGTATGTAGGAAAACTGAAAATTTCAGAGCAGGAATGAGAGGTGTCTTTATTTTAAATCTACTTGGGACTGTGTTTCTGTTTATGTTGTCTTGTTAAACCCTAATCAGGTGGGTTGCATTACATGGTTGGGATTTAAGACCAAATTGAGGTCAGTTGAAAATGGTACAGAAGTTGGCTAAGAATGCAGGGAGAATAAAGTTAGAAGATACATATATATATTTTTAGTAGTGTATATTTAGTTCTAGTCTTTTTGAAAAAAGTTTTTTTTTTTTGTTTTGTTTTTTTGAGACAAGGTCTTTCCCTGTTGCCCAGGTTGGGGTGCAGTGGTGTGATCGCAGCTCACTGCAGCCTTGAATTCCTGGGCTCCGATGAGCTTCCTGTCTCAGCCTCCTGAGTAGCCGCGCTGCAGGTGTGTGCACCACACCCAACTTGTTCCAATTTTGATACATACTTTTTTTATTTTTAGATGAAAGAAAACTGGTAAATCTTTGAATATAAAGTTATAATTAGGTTCCTTGGACTTACCTTTAAGAATGAATTCTAGCACTTTATAAAATTCTAGCACTGACTAATATATAGTTTCCTACTTTTAATAAAGTTTTGAAAAGCCAGATTTTATATATTAAATATTTTGCTATTTCACCTGAGTGTAAGTTTAAATTATTCACCAACAGTGAATGTTTTTCTTTGAGAGTAGCAGCTACTCATGTTGCTAAATCAGTCTGTTTATCTTTACTGATATAATATAGAGCTGAGTTTTATTACATGTTCCCTTAATGTTGAGCTTAAAAGTACCGTGGTTAAAACCAAAGCTGAGTGTTGGGTTAAAGCCCTGCTTCATTTTTAAACTACATGTTATTTTTTCCCTCACCGCCCTTCTCCCCATCCCCTGCTGAGAATGATCACATAATGGGATGTTGACTTCTCATTTCTGTTATATTGTAAAGATAGGATTCACATTAATCATTTATTTAATTCTATATGTAGCTTTATTATAGAATAAAAGTCAAGGTTAATATCTAAGTTTTGTACAGAATTTGTCAAACTTCATACTAAAGTTGATTTAGTTCCTGTGAGGTGGGTTTGAGGTATAAGAAAATACTTCAAACATTTTTTCAAAATACTTAGGAAACATTTTAGTTAAAAGCATACTATTCAATGAAAACATAGCATGTTTAGAGTAGTTAAAAAAAGGATACTATTTAAAACATAGGATACATCCACAGGATACTGACCTTGTAACAAAGAAAAACTTCAAGTCACATCACTTTTTCTTATTCTTAACATTAAGAGTTCTAAGGTGGTCATAAAAACTCCTCTAGTTATAAGTAGCTTAACTAGGTGGGTGATGATATGGTAGGTTCCATATTCTGTGTGAGAACCCTGGGAACCTGTCCTTTGTGTTTTTATCTACGTAACTGGAAATGGTGGGTATTTCATCTTTGCCTGGGATCACAGAAGGAGCAGCGCAGGCCATGCTCCCTGAGTGCTCCAGGTCCTCTTGCTCACTCCCTCTGCCAGAGCTGCTTAGGAAGTCTTTCAGAACTTGCTTGAAGATGTAGACTATTTCCCATGGCAGTACATCATTTTCTGCCAAAACTTCTCGAAATCTGGAGGGAATGTGGTGATGAATATTCTGTTTAGAACATTTTTTGTTATATCTCCTTATCTCCAAAATACAGCTAGAATAATGTGCTTGTATACAAGTTACCCACCTTTTGAGTATTAATGCATGTTGTTTTAAAATTATACTTCTAGTGAAGAAATTTTAGATGTAATTTAAAACCATTTCTCACCAGATATCTACACAGTTAAAGAATTTACATGATAGAATACAATTTCTAGTCAAAATGTATGAGGAACTTAGACTTAGCAGTAGCGAGTATCATAAGAGAACACAGTGTTTTTACCTGCTGAGAATAGTTCCAGTTTGGCAGGGTTGAACTTGTGAGCAGAGAACTTCAAGTTGTCTTTGTTCAGTCACTGGGATAGTTGTGTGGGGATTCTGGTAGTTTCTGAGCCAGTTGTAATCCACACCTGTTTTTTTCACTTTTTGTTCATTTTCGATTTCTTGTATTAATCTCTCTCGCTCCTTTAGGTGCCATTTTAATTCCCGAAGCAGAGTCTTTGTCACTACGTCTGAGCCAGGAAAGTGTCTGGATTTGTAGGATTCGTTTCTGGGCCATTTCATCCAGCCAAAAAGTGGCATTTTTAGCCTGTGGAAATATTTTCCCGTGTTTATTTGCTCAAAACGTTATGGTTCTTCTGAGCAAATACTTGTTTCTTTACAATAAATTTGCCCGAAAAGTGCATGATTTTTTTTTCACAGGTTAGCTATGCAGGTCAAAATAAGATTAGAACATGGATTAACGTCTTAATTTTTAACTAGGTCAGTGGCAGAAACCAAGCTCTGAAAATGCTTTTATGTAGCTTAGCAGAAATTAGATATACAAAGTCAGAGATAATACATAGGCTGAATGATACCTGAAAATAACACTAACACTTGCTATGAAAAGTTTTTAGGAGACTTAAAATGTTAATGTCGAGGCAAGTGCTGCCTGTAAATACTTTTGATTTATGTTTTGTACAGAAAAGGTTTAAAGCTTACCTGTTAAGTTGATGGCTGATGTGATGTTGCCAAAGAGTTGCCTGAAATTGGTGACGGAGCTGTGTTTCACTCGGACATATCTTGCTCTCCTGAAAGTGTCCTCTGTTGAAGGAATGCACTGCCTTATTTACCCACCAAAATTGTATTTGAAATAAATAACTTTCTATGTTAGGAATGAGGCTGTGATGTCTTCATTTGGAGAGAATGCTTATTAATTCACCTTGTAAGTAAGCTAGAAGAAATGACAAAAATAACTTACTATTTAATCTTCACAAGTTATGTAATGGTCTGCCTTTTGAATGTAGCTCATTCTACTTGAAAAAAATGCCAGCAGCTATGGATGCTGGTCCTAAATGCATTCCGACATGTCTTTGGTAATGAAATGAAGAATGGTCGTCTAAAGCACCACAGATGCGCTCCGAGCTACAGTGAAGACTGTCGCATGATGTGATACTTTGCTGTGCACAGCTGTAGGTCACAGTTTAGTGCTATATTTTTATGCCTGTAGAGCTCTAAAAATAACCATGTTGCTTTTATTCTTCAGCTTAACTTTCAGGCCATTTGGAAGCCGGGTCATTGTCCCCTGTAGTGAAAACAGGAAAAATAGATCAGACTTGACTATTTGCAAAACATGCATTCTGAGAAAGCTCATTGTAATTGAGCGAAATAGGTAAAGAATGTTGATGTGAATCATAATTGTGAAATATTTAGCAAAGGTTACATTCTGTATTAATTTTGTTTTTTCTCGCAAAATAGTTAAATTTGTATATTTAAGCAATTTGAAATGCTAGGGAACATAATAAACGCTTAGCTAGATAACTTTAAAATATACTTTATAATCTCTGAAAACATGGTAATAAGGCAGTAATTGGTTGTCAGGGAAAAATAGAGGCATAAGAACATACAAAGTTCAAAACAAAATCTTGTAATTCATCATAGAAAAATCATTTTAGTGTTTTTTTTTGGAGCTGAGGATGAAAAACTTATATTTACTGTTTAGGTGCATATTGGTTTGTAATGGTTGTTATTGTGCCATTTCTTTTTTCTTTTCTTTTCTCTTTTTTTTTTTTGAGACAGAGTCTCGCTCTGTCGCCCAGGCTGGAGTACAGTGGCCGGATCTCAGCTCACTGCAAGCTCCGCCTCCTGGGTTTACGCCATTCTCCTGCCTCAGCCTCCCGAGTAGCTGGGACTATAGGCGCCCACCACCACGCTCAGCTAGTTTTTTTGTATTTTTTAGTAGAGACGGGGTTTCACCGTGTTAGCCAGGATGGTCTTGATCTCCTGACCCCGTGATCCACCTGTCTCGGCCTCCCAAAGTGCTGGGATTGCAGGCTTGAGCCACCGCGCCCGGCCATTCTTTTTTTTTTTTGAGACAGAGTCACGTTGTGTCACCAGGGCTGTAGTGCAGTGGCATGATCACAGCTCACTGTAGCCTCAACCTGCGGGGCTCAAGTGATCCTCCCACCTCAGCCCCCTGAGTAGCCAGGACCACAAGTGCATGCCACAGCATGCCTGGCTAGTTAAAAAAAAAATACACATGCACATATGTACATATATATGTTATATATATGTGTACACGTTTTATATATTTACATACATGTATGCATTTTATATATGTACATATATGTATGCATTTATATGTATACATATATGTATATATGCATGTAATATATGTATATATGCACATAGGTGTATATACATACATGTATGTATTATATATGTATACATAACTATACACACACATACACATACACACACATATACTTTTTTTTTTTTTTTGGTAGAAATAAGGTCTCCTTGTGTTGCCCAGGCTGGTCTCTAAACTAGGCTCAAGTAATCCTTCTGCCTCAGCCTCCCAAGGTGCTGGGATTACAGGCGTGAGCCACTGCACCAGCCCGTGCTAATTTTCTATGCAAGTGTTTGTCTTTTGCTAAAGGGTAGATAGAGTATAAAAGGTCTTTTACTCTCCAGTTCTCTGTTAAACGACTGCATAGTGGTTTTCCCTTTTATAGTATTTGTTTCTTCTGTTGCTTTTCCTTTCAAATGAGCCATGAAGAATAGATACTGTTTACATCGGACTTGCATGTCATGCACGATCAAGAGCGATGTGTGTGGTCATCCTACAGCTCCTATTGCTTGTATGTTAGAAAAAGCCAGATGTCAAGATTCATTATTGTCAACTAGAAGGTTTTCACATTACATTGCATATACTGTTAGGAGAAGGAAAGGAGTAAAGTTTATCATGATAGAAGTGTCCTACCACATTTTATACTAAAATTACAGCGAATCTTGCCGCATACTCCTTTGAATAACCTCCTTGTTACTGCATACATTTTTTCCCTCTGAAATGGTAGCAAAAATATCAGAACATATTGGATATGGAACTTAAGCCAAATTTTTGTTCAAGGCCCTCTGCAGTCTTACATTATCCCTCCTTTAAGGCCCTCTGCAGTCTTATATTATCCCTCCTTACCTGGCTTGCTTTCTTGCTGGACCCTAGAGCACACCTTTTGTTTCAGCCAGGCCACATTGCCCCCAGACACTTGCCATGCTTACTTCTGATCCTTTGGCTTTAGTTTAACTGTTTTTTCTCTTCTGAAAAGCTTCTTCTTTGTCTTTTTCATGTATCCACATAGTAATTCTCTTTTTCATGGACCAGCTCAAATACCAACTCATTTTTTCCTTCAACCTGAGGGTCAACGTGAACATCTTCCTTGGCCCTACTTTTGCTTTGAACTCTGGTTTTATTTATCTTCACTGTTAAACTTATAGAAAGACTGGTTTGGTCTGTGTTCCTCTTTTCTCTTCCCCCGACCCTTTTTTTTTGGATGGAGTCTTGCTCTGTCGCCCAGGCTGGAGTGCAGTGGTGTGATTTCAGCTCACTGCAACTTCTGCCTCCTGGGTTCAAGTGATTCTTGTGCCTCAGCCTCCCTCGTAGCTGGGATTACAGGTGTGCGCCGCCACACCCAGCTAATTTTTGTATTTTTAGTAGAGATGGGGTTTCACCATGTTGGCCAGGCTGGTCTTGAACTCCTGACCTCAAGTGATCTGCCCGCCTTGGCCTCCTACAGTGCTGCGATTACAGGCATGAGCCACAGCACCTGGCTGCTTTTCCCTTTTTCCTAATCCTTTCCAATTAGATCCTGCTCTGTTCTCTACTGTAATTGCTGGCTTTCAGTTACTTAACAGATATCTATTGACTGTCTGCCAGGGCCTGGATAGTTAGGGGCTGAGGTGTAGCAGTGAACAAAACAGACCTAGTTCCTACTCCCAAGGAGCCAGCTTCCAAATGTGAAGACAAATATAAGTAAACAAATCATCCAGTAAGGTAATTTATAGATGGTCATAATCTATTAATATACTTGAAGCACTTCTCCCACTTAGAACTGGAGGTCAGAGAAGGCCTTTTTGGGTAGTGGGTGTCCTTTTAACAGAGATTTAAAGATCAATGAGCTAGCCACTGGAAGAGCTTCTTGAAGGCAGTCTTCCTTCTCCACTTACTTGTTTGACACCTGTCTTGCCACTGAAACCATTACCAAAGACCTTTTCAGAACTTTTCTTACCACCTTAACTCACATTGAGTATACCTTCCTTTGAACTTAATTGTGTGAACCAATTTTTCTAGTACTTAGTGTGTGCTACTTGCCTTACAAATTTTATTTTGTCCTGCCTCCTGAGATTATCAGATTGAAGTAGAGACCCAAATAATTCTCTGATTATAGTGTTTCTTCTACTACTATGTAGATAGAGAACATAAATATTTGTAAGTAAAGGTAAGGAAGTATCTTAGATTGTATTTATCTTACATTTTAATGAGTTGAATGAATTGTTTCTGATGAATTGCAAACTTAGTAGGATATTTTGTGTGGATGACATAAAGCTTAAGCTATCAGGTCATTTGCTTTTTGGTCATTGTCATAGTTTTCTAGTTTGCACCTTGTGAGCTAAGTATTAAATTTTATAAGACTTAAAATGAAATAGGACCATGTCATGCATAATGTATGTGTGTCTATGTAAAATTTTAAGATCTGTAAGGAAGTACATGAAAAGTTTAGAAAGACAAAATTTTGGAACCTTGAAAAGCAAGTTAAGGAGCCAGGCATAACTTTTTATATATTACAATCAGGGCTGCTTTATATAATATTCAACAGCACTTGATTGCAATCAAAGAAAGATTTTTCATTGTGGGAAGACTCATGTCTTTCTGTTTTTTTTTTTTTTTTTTTTTTTTTTTTTGAGACAAGGTCTTGTTCTGTCACCTAGGCTAGAGTACAGTGGCATGGTCACAGCTCACAGCAGCCTCAGCCTCCTGGGCTCAAGATATCCTCCCACCTCAGCCTCTCAAGTAGCTGGGACTACAGGCACGTGCCACCATGCCTAACTAATTTTTAAATGTTTGGTAGAGAGTGGGTGTCACTCACCGTGTTGCCCAGGCTGGTCCTGAACTCCTGGGCACAGGCAATCTCCCACTCAGCCTCCCAGTGTGCTGGGATTATAGGCATGAGCCGCTGTGCCCAGCCTGTTTTTATTCATTTTGCTACTGAATTAAAAGTTCTGGGTTATTGGTTCATTTTTCTTAAGGTAAAAAAGTACATTTCTATGGAGTTGTTCATATTAAAAACACTCAACAAAGTAGGAATAGAAGGAAACTACTAGCATAATAAAAGCCATATATGAAAAGCCCACAACTAACATCATACTTGATGAAAGATTGAAAGCTTTTCCTCTAAGATCAGGAACAAGGTGAGGTTGTCTCCTTTCACCACTTTTACTTAACTTAGTACTAGAATTTCTAGCCAGAGCAATCAGGGAAGGTTAAGAAATAAAATGTATCCAAATTGGAATGGAAGAAGTAACATTATCTCTGTTTGCAGATGATATAATTTTATATGTTGAAAATCCTAAAGATTCCACAAAAAACTGTCACAGCTAATAATTGAATTCAGCAAAGTAGCAGTCTGCAAAGTTAACACACAAAATTCAGTTTCATTTCTATTATTATTATTTTTTTGAGACAGAGTGTCACTCTGTCGCCAGGCTGGAGTACAGTGGCATGATCTCGGCTCACTGCAACCTCAGCCTCCTGGGCTCAAGGGATTCTCCTGCCTCAGCCTCCCAAGTAACTGGGACTACAGGCGTGCCACCACACCCAGCTAATTTTTGTATTTTTAGTAGAGATGGGGTTTCACCATGTTGGCCAGGATGGTCTTGATCTC